GCAGTAATTACTGCAAAAAGGACCCAAACCAAGTACTGAGTACATATGCATGCTTATACTTTTCAGTCCGATATTGTTTCTATGTACAATCCTTGTTTTATTGATTGCATGTAATATTCTAATTTTCTGAGATTGTGGATTTGAGGTTTTCATGAGCTGTAAGCCATAATCATCACAATTATGACAAATCGCGGCTTGAACTATCTTGCAAAGCAAGATAGTTATCTCATATATTAGTTTATCTCATATATTAGTTTATCTCATATATTAGTTTCACCTTTTATCTCATATATTAGTTTATATCTCATATATTAGTTTATCTCATATATTAGTTTCACCTTTTAAGTTGCATTACTGAAATAAATGAACTTTTGCATGATATTCTAGTTTTTCAAATTTCACCTGTATGAACCAGTCGCCAAGCAGCCAAATTTTGATCACGTGACCAAGGAGATGTTGCAACGATGTAAGTGTGAAAAATGGTCATAAGTCACTTTTTTCCAGTGCTGTTGTAACTTTGAATGGTCACTAAGTGAAGTGTTATAAGTTGCAGATTACCTGTATAAGGTTTAAATTATTATTTATATTTATAAAAATGGTTGCTGTTACATTGATACATGAATTATGTGAACTGAAATAAGCTTATTCATTCATTCATTTATTCACTCATTCATTCATTCACTCATCCATCTTCTGTGGCCAAGTCTCTTATATAGAACAACCTGGATGTACCTGGTTAACATCAAATTGAAACAACTTTATAAAAATCTCAAGAAAACATGCTACAAAAGGCACATATCCTAAGTCCCATCACTGATGTTTTTTTGATAGAAGGAACCTGGAACATACTCATTCTATCATATCTTGTGGAATGGGCAGCAATAATTGGAAATAGACAGTTTCACAAGTAGTCTGCCATGTGTCATTAAGGACTTTATAGGTGATAATCAGATTGAATTGCATCCAGAAACCTCTGCAGCTTGTGAACCACTGGTATTATGTGGTTTTCTCACTTGTAACTGCTTGAATGACTACATTCTGGACTATTTGTAGCTTTTGAGTGGTCTTTGAGGAAAAACGCATGTAGGGCATGTTGCAGTAGTTCAAACAGGAGATGTCAAGGCATAATTAATCATGAGCAGGACTTTTTGATCCAGGAATAAACATAGTTTTTGCACAAGATACATGAAGACCCTCCTGAGTGTGAGTACCACCTGCTCTAATTCCCAGTTCTAGGGGACATTAAAACTCACAGGAACTCAGTCTCTTGATGGATAAACTAAACCCTGTTGTTTCACAGCCTGAGAGAAAACCATACGCTGACAGAAAACCTTGATTGTGTTATTTAATTGGCCAGGAGTAGAGACATATAGCAGATTATCATCAGCACATTGATGAGACTTAACCTCATTCTGATGGATGGCTTTACCAAATAGATGTCAAATAGGTGTGGGAGTAAATAGAGCTCTGAGGACATATGGGAAGCAGCGGCTTAAGCCTGGATTTCTCCTTACCTGCAACCAACAGGTAGGAGGAAGGAAGGAAAACTACCACAGTATCATAACTCTCATTCCAAACCCTCTAAACCTATCCAGAACGATACCATAGTATATGGCATTAAAGATTGTTGTTCAAAAAAGATCATGATGATCATGATTCCCATCCCAAACCTACCATAAATCATCAGTAAGTGTCATCAGTACTATATTGGTATGATACCCAGGTCCAAAACCCAACTGAGAAGTCTTCAGATAATCTTTCTGTGCAGGATCTCTGAAGCTGCAGCCAACCTTCTCAACAACCACCTTTAGAAAGGATAGATTGGAGACAAAATAAATTTCCTTTAGTACCATTGGATCCAGCAATGGCTGCCAGAGAAGGAGGTTGTCCGAATGCTGGTTGGATTATCTTGTCATCCAAATATTTTATCACCACATGCATCCAATCACATTTCTAAGGAGGCCTTGGTTAGTCAGGAAGGCCATGGATTTATAGCCCCAAGAACTCTGTCCACTCTGTCCACTTTCTTAAGAATAATGGTCTCACTCTCATATGTATATAAGGGAGACTGATTCATATAACTAAGATAGACTGTGCCACAGTCAACTAACTCCATAGGATCTGCCTAGTTGGAGTAAATTTTATGAACCATATACTTTGAATAAATCTCAGAAGTTCCTATTGAAGTTTTCCTGCCTCCCTCTCATCTCAGGATGTCCTGCATCACCTTGAACATAGCCAATAGTCCGCTAACTGCAGTCAGGATAAGAGTGTAAGAATCATTTTTTGTTACTGTTCTTAATAGCATGAGGTAATCCTTAATAAAGGTTTTTACCTACTTTTGATTACATTTGTTCATCTTCCTCAAGTGGGACTCTAGGCATCTTTTTTGTCATTTCAGACTTCCTGTGAAATCCAAAGGGCTCTCCAAATCCCCAAAAAGGGAGAGTAACCTTATTCCATTGTCATCCTCTAATTCCAGGCAGTGACTAAAGCCTCAGTCAAACTGTGCATCCCTCTAAAATGCAGATGCCTGGGACAATACAATCTCATAGGTTATTTCTCTTCTGGTGCGGAGCAGTTGTGGAAAGTTCTAAGGCATCAGAGCACTCTGACTGCCAAGAGACTGATGTTAGCATTCTCCACCTTCAGTTCGCTTCATTTCTGTGTTGGACCTGCTTAAAGTCTATGGTACCATAAGTCTAGGGACCTGTTCTGCCAATTTACCAGCTTAAATATCAAAGTTTGCTCTGCTACTAATTATTCTTGCCATAATCTTTACAATTCCTTTGAAGTATGATCTCCACTTTTATAATAACAAAAGATACCATCTTTTAAAAGTCATTTTGACTCCGCTCTTTGATTCCATCTCTTTCATCATTCCTTTTGCTTCATTTGCACACTGCAGTTTTTATTCGATCATGACTTTTATAATATTGATACTGAAATCACAGAAGTCATGCATTTAATTTCATTGTGAAGGTTGTGTTAAGGATCAAGTTTCTCAACTTCCTTCTTATAGCACAAATGCTTTTATTTTCTTTAATTGTAAGACATTAGTGCATACAGTATTCAATTAAACATTCTTTAACTGTAATTTCTGTAACATCCTTGAGATTTAATACTGTAGATTTTGCTGTTTATTATTATTTGTCAGGGAGCAGAACTATTCATAGATGCTTACACTGATTTTTTAAAAAGTGTTCTCTTTAGATATAAAACAACTGAAATAAGCCAAATATTTTCTACCTTACTAAAAGCATTATTGCTACTTTTAATTCTAATTTTTTAAAGTAGAATTTGCAAAATTTAGCATTTTCCACCTGTTACTAGGCATAGGGATACAAAAGAGCAGAGCAGAACTTAACTTTATTTGGCCAAGTATGATTAGACAAACAAGGAATTTGTCTCGGTATATGCAAAACAACAGAGCAATAATAATCCTAATAATGATACCAATAAAAGAAGGTAGTAGAAAAGATGAGGATAATCGTAGGATCCAATCTGGGTTGGTCACCAACTCTAGAGGTTTCGTTTTCTGAGCTTTCGAATTCATGCTGGAGCCCATCCGCAGGTAACTTCTCTCTACATCTATAAAATCATCTATTCTTTTCTTAAAAAAAATACTAACCAAATCTAACAAGATTCTTTGGGAACAGTTCATGTATATTCTTAGCTCTTTCATCTGTGAATTTCATTATTCCTAGGCATTTTAAAATCTGGATCTTTTAAAATATCTTGTTTTTGCATTATTTACAAAACCTAAAACCCCAGTTTAAAAGAGAGATTTTTTTCTTCACTTTGCCAAAACTATTCATTTGTTGCTGTTTCTCTTCCTGCTTTTGCTTCCTACACCTCATGCATTCATATTTTGGATTGATCTCCCATTTTACTCTGTTTCAACATTCTGATCACTTCTCCTTTTTTCACAAAGCTAGCATTCAGGGCACATGGCAATTATCATGAAATGTTAATTTCTAAATTTCAATAGGTCAAAGGAATATGGATCTGTGGGGGACATTACCCATTCAGAGAATTCAAGTTACTGGTGAGTAGCTCTTGCTTTTAAACCCACTGGCACTTGTGTCATGTAACAAAAGTAAGAAAGCAAAATTACTTTCATCAAATAACGAAAAAGGAACTTCCTCAAAGTAAAAAAAACCATCTCACCCCAGTATTTCCTAGACTCTTGGCATTGTTTTGAAAGAAATCTATTACCTTTGCTTTCCTTGGTCCTTTTATATCATTTGCTCAAAATCTTTGTTATGTTATATTGTTCTTTTTTATACTGTTTGTAACAGAACAGTATGTGTATCTTCAAAACAATCTTAATTCTACTATGTACAACATGGCATGGTGATGGAATCCTATCTTACGAAAAGTACATTTCTCTTAGTACTTTTTACTGCTTCTCTATCTTATGGGTATCTTTGTTATCCACAACCTTAATTAACATTACAAAAAGTTCATTGTTATTCTGATCAACATACTAAGGGCTTTGCTTAAAATCAAATACGTTTCATGGGTAAGATAGAGTTTGAAAAAATATTCCAAGTCGATCAAAGTAGTTTTGATTATGCCAATTTTTTGTAGATAAAAAAGAAAAAGTCAGTACTATTATATCATTTTTAATTTGAATGTTGGACTTGTTTCTTTTTCCTCAAGAAAGTTAAAGCATTTTACCCTGAACTTTCAGATATTTTTCCACTCAGATATTGCTTTTTAAAAACTGTTTAAATATTTCAGTTAATACAGACTAGGATACAAACTCATTGAGGCAGGCCTTCCAGTTTTATTCAAAGTTTGTACAATGCTCTTGCACTTAAAATCTAATAAATCTGTTTCTGAAAACTGAACTATACATCCAGCAATAAATATTTTAAATATTACATTAAAGATGGATCTATTCATTTTTCTTAAGAAAATAATTTTAATCTTTCTTGCCCCTTTCTCTTCCCAATTTTGCCAAGAATAATGTTAACCTTCCTTTGTTATTCTAAATTGTTTATCAATCCTGATATTATAAGAGAAGTACAAACTCAGGTATAAAATAATCTTATTTAAACATTAAAAAGTAAATAGCTTTCCATGGTATACCAGGAGTCAAGATTATACAAGATAATTTTGGTAGGTTCTGGTAATTTTAATATGGAATATTGAAAGAAGGGACACCTGCCCACAATAATGAAAATACTTTAACATCTTTGAGAAATAGACAGATCTTGCTTTGGCAGAAATAATTCAGTGGGACAATTCCTAATATTTAAATTTCTGTACTGAAAAGTGCCACCCAGTTGGAAGAATATAACCACAATGAAATGTTTTAGAAACTGAATTTAAAAGGGTGCGTTATTATTTATACAAATAAGCAAAAATAATAAAAATCTGGCACAACTGTTTGTTCCTCCTTTGAATAGTTCCTGGGAACAGAAGTTTCAAAGTTTAATATTATTTATATCCCATATTTATTATTTTTTATGAATAACTCCCCCCTCCCCCCCAAAAAATCGGTTGGGGTGAGAATAACAGTTGGAAGGGACCTTGGAGGTCTTCTAGTTCAACCCCCTGCTCCAACAGAAAACCCTATACCATTTCAGAAAAATGATTGTCCAATCTCTTCTTAAAAATATCCAGTGTTGAAGCACCCACAAACATCTTGAAGCAAGTTGTTCCACTGATTAATTGTTCTATCAGAAAATTTCTCCTTAGAATTGGTTCCAAGGATTAGTTGTTTAGTTTGATTAGTTTCCATCCATTGGGATATTGACTTTGGTGCAAAGTCACCCAACTAGCTTTCATGCCTAAGGCAGACCTAGAACTCATAGGTCTCCTGATTTATAGTCTGATGCCTTAATAAGTTGGCGAAACTGGCTTGATCTTAATATTTGGTAATTTAATTTAGTTACTACGCTATGTCACTTCTTTATCAATAATTTTATCAGGTGGGAATCTATTATTAATTAATAAATTTAAAAACAACAAGAACTGAGGGGTTCACAAAATCATGCAAACTCTCTAACTCTCATAACTATTAAGGGAATGTATTAACTATGAAGAGGTTTTGGTTTTCCCAACATGAATATTTTGCAAATATTGCTTTAGTTTAAAAGGTACAAATATTTTTTTCTTAAATCTATAATATAATATGAAATGATATAAACATTTGTAATTCTGGTTTGTCGTCTTGTTTATTCCAGTTAACAACTTATGGAAGCTTCATGGATCTGACATGGTGCAGTCTGAAAATGGTGGATTTTTTTTTCACCATATAGAAGTGTTCAGACCGGTTGTTCTTTCCGATACAACTTTCACAAGCTTCAGGGCTAAGACTGCTGTTACTCACCCCTTGCTTTGGCATAAAAAGCTCGCTGAGGGTATCTTATTGCGGGTTTGCCTTAAGGTAGATTAGATTAATTATTACTATGTAATGCAAGTAAAAGCAAATAAAGCTTAGGATTAGTGCTGCCTTTAGAAATTTGTGAAAAATAAATAAATGCTTGTCAATCTTAATGGAATGTGGTAAGTTTTTCTCATATCAGTGAGAATGAAAGAACTATTTACCCTATGAGAGGGGTATTTATATTGGGATAAGCACACAGACTTAAATATAGAAAGAAGGTATCTCAAACTGAGAGAAGCTGAAATTTTCATGGAAGACTCGAAGTCGTGCTAAAGCAGCAAAATTTGCTTGAAAACAAAGCCTTATGTAATCACTTGAACTTCAGTGCCTTTTCTGTATTGTTATTAATGCTAATCATTCATCATAGCTCAAAGTATTAAACAGTTTGCTTTACAAAATATTAACTTCACATATTGGTAAAGGAGGAGAAAATGAGTAAATAAGGTTATCTATGCATTATTACCAAGCCATACAGAATTGTTTTTCAAGTGGCGTTAGAAGTACCGTAACTGTTAAAACAACCAAGTTTGGAAGTGTACTTTGGTTCATAATTGTTCCATAATTTGTATAACATGTTTCATTTAACAATTTGAAGTGTGAATCACAGTAAGCATACACATATGTCTATGTATGCTCCGTTTAACATGTAAATTATTGTTAGAATATTTTTATTGGTTGTTGCCCTTTTAGTGCCTTATTCTGAGAATTCTTTTACTGCCATGTCAAATGAGTTTAGAAATTTCAAATACCTATTGCTGTGTGTCAGTAGTTTTATTGATTGAAGTATTGTAGGATCTAGTTCCATTTTCAGTTGTACAATCTTGAAAAAAACTGTTGGTTACCACAAGATAATTTAATCATAATAAAAATAGTAATAATTTTTTTACCGTGAAAACAATTTAAATCTCTGCAACATGTTAAAATTCCAGGTAATACAGGAATTGAATACTTTTTAAATTCTTGTCTTGTAGCAGGAATATTATTATGGTATTAACCGTATGATTTATTTTATTTTTTAACCAAATACCTCTTTAGTAATTTATAATGGCTTTGCAGTTATGTATTAAATAAGAAGCACTGGAAAAATGATTCGTCTCAATGGCGATTTGCATGTTTCAAGTGGTGTTGAAAGCCTTAGCAATAGATATGTAATAAGCATATCTGTTAATACAGCAGTAATGACTTGTGCTCATTTAATACAAAATAAAACTAATTTATGAAATAATTATTTTGAAAATGACTGTGGTATTTTTCTCCAGAATACAGTTTCTAGGAAGTTTTATTGTACTTTACAGGCCAACTGTTAGCATATTTAAATCTGATGCAACTTGATAATTTTTTAAAAAATAAATTTTTATAATGTCATACTACATTTTAATACAGGGTAAATTAGTAGAAATCGCATAGGATATTAAAGAACTTGTTTTGATAATTAAATTGTTAAATCCATTTACTAGCACATGATTTCCCTCAGAAGCCTTATACCAGGTACACAGCTCTTACAATATTATATTTCCATGAATTTTAATTTATGCATAAACCATAATTGTTAATAGAAATATGTTACATTTATTTCTGCACTCTGGAAATCAGTGATTTTGCTTTGTTACTATATACAAATAATATGGACTCTAGCAAAGCTTAGGTGAGTAATAGAATTGAAAGAAGATTGACAATGCTGAAAAGTTAAAAGAGGTTAGGAAGTTAAAGTGTAGTTAAAGAAGGCCAGAGGAGTTTGATTTTGTCAAAGTGGTCTGAGAAAAGAGGACAGAGTGTTTGAGATAGGAAGGCAAAAGACTGTGGGATGACTGACATGTAGTATGAGAAAGCAAGTGGAAAGAAGGGACAGAGGAGGATTCATGTGCTTGAGATAGTATAAAGCCAAAGAGATGGGAATAACAGGCAAGAAATTCAAAGTTTTGTTAACCGATTCAGAGCTTAGAAAAGGGTCCATAGAGTGGTTAGACAGACTAATAAGTCTATAGTGAAAAAGAAAGTTACTTTGAGAGGAAACTGAGAAGATAAGCAAGGATATGGTTACTGATTTTTATTGTTTCTTGGTTAAAACCAGTGGAGTGCAAAGATATGGAATTTGAAATATTTTGAGCTTGAAATGTTCTACAATACTCAAAATTGAAAACAGCTGCAGAAAACGGTTGTAGAAGAGTTCTAATCTCTAAATGTTTCCATTTTGAGTTGGAAACTTTTTGCTAGAATAATGGCTGAATGCTTATAAGGTTCAGAACAACCCATTTCAATCTTGAATTGTTTTATATTCTTCTAATTAAAATTAATTATTCTTTAAAATTAAGGATTTTTAAAAAGAAAAATGACAACTCTTTCCATGAAGAAAAAAATAGAATAAGTTTGATTTTTTTAAAAATAAAAAGGTATAAATATTACCTGTAAATGTGCAATTTTCAATGTTCTTACCACTATTAACAATTTCAGTAAATGGGATGAGTGATGCCTAACAGGAAGACAGAAATAATCTAAACCATGCCCAAATAGTAGCTTAATAACACCAGAACTGACATAGAATTATATATTATAGGGAGAGGTATATTGATGCAGAATAATACTAGCCCATCTATGAAATGTTGCCATGCATTCTGGAGAATTATGCCTAAGCCCAAAATTTAGGTTACTCGATTTGTTTAATCTCCAGGGGCTATTTTATAATGTTGAAGAATTCATTCCTGTGACGTGTAATTGTAAACATCTAATCATGCCTGGTTGTGAATTTGGTGTCAGGCCCCTCCCTGCAGTGTCAGTAAAATATGTGTTTTAATGCAACAATTTCAACTATATAATGTATTAGATTGTGTTTTTATTACTGTTAAATTTTTATTTTGATGGTTTGTTCTTTGGTATTCCTCAACCCATATGTATATATTTGCCACTTTATAAATCCATTTCATGAATCATTTGGAGTAGCTGTTGCCTGTAAAACATTATGCTGCAATAAAATAAACCAATGAATCTTTGAATTGCCAAAAAGTTGTTTTAGTGCTCCATGGCTTTTTCAGAAGTATGCTTTCAATAATTAGTAGGGGGAAAACTATCCAATATCACACATTTTATCTTGTTAAAAAAACATAGTGGGCATCAAAAAAATTATTGAAAGTTCTAATTTTTTTTAAAATTTTTGCAATGGATTGGGGTGGTGGGGTGGGTTGGGAAGAAGGGAATCCAAGTGTCCAGCTGGGAGATAGTTGAAGCAAAGCTGTTTAACAACATTCTTTTTTAAAAACAAAAGACAAGCAAAATTGCATTCAACAACCTTTAAAAGGATTTGCTTCTGCAATAAGCACCAACAATGTAACATATTTATGTATTTATTTTCCTGTATATTTTATCATATTTATTATTTTCTCTCTATATAAAACAAGCACTAGTCCTTTACTTCAATACCAGACAATAGAATTGAGTCATCAACTCCTAATTATGAATAATAGGATTAGGTTGTTATTTACATTGATAAGAGCTGGTTTGATCTAGTGGTTAAGCACCAGGCTAGAAACCAGGAATCTGTTGGCATGAAATTGGCTAGTGGCTTTGACCCAGTCACACACACACTCCAACCTATCCTCACATGGTTGTTGGGAAAATAGGGATATTGGGTATGCTTGATGTTTGAGTTACTTATACAAATAATAAAGGCAGGATAAATATAACATTTATATAGCTCCTTGTGGGGTTTCCTTACTGTCCCTGTAGTGTTGATCTGTGATCATATCAAATTGAGTACAATCCTCAACATATACCACAGTTGGGATCAGAATTTTCATTGCTTAGTAAGGTGGTGGTGAAATGAATTGTGCTCAATTTTATAACTGTTTTTGCCACAGCTAAGTGAATTATATGGTCATTAAGCAAATCCAGGTCCCCATTGACTTTGCTAGTAAGAAGTGACTAGGAAATCATAAATCATAAATAATGATTCTATTTCCTTGGGATGCTCCAACTGTTATAAATCCAATTTTTATCACATGACTGAGGATGCTGCAAGTCATTTTCCCCAATGCTTTTAAAGCTTCAATTGCTAAATTAACAGTTGTAAATCAAGGATTATCCATACCACAGAAAATACATTCTTATCTACTGTAGTTGAGATATTTCAACCTTGCCTATACTTGTTTGAATTAAGGGTTACCAGAGTGGTATCTTTTAATGCATTTAATTTTGCAAGCATTTTACTTCAACAAAGTTCTCATTGCAGGAGATATACAAAAGAAATTTGCAAATCACTAGGACTATACTGTTTCATAATTAACATTTTCTAAATTAGTCTAATATAATTGCCAACGTCTATCGAGACGCCAGATAGCTAAAATGCTATTTTGCATTACAGACTAGATTTTGTAATCTAACAAACAAAAGCACAGAAATTATTGTCATCAAATATCAGCTTTATAAAGGGATAACTCAGTATGTTGCTATTATCTGTTGCATAGTTCATGCTGTGTGTTATGGTCACTATAGGATATAATAAAAACTTGCTTAATTGTAGTTTGTGGTAATTAGTGAAAACTGTGAATTGAATACACAGGGAGAAAAAATCAGGATGGATTGAAACTTTGTTTTCATGTGTTTGGTAATGCCAAGGAATAACAATTTAATCTAAATTAATTTAGAATTGTACAAGTCTATATAAGACTCTGCTCATAATAGAATACCTTATGCCACAAGGCTTGAAATTTTGGACCTGGACAACCTAGAACTATGCTGCCTATGGTCTGACTAAGCTTAGTACACAAAATTGTCCGCTACAATGTCCTACCTGTCAATGAGTACTTCAGCTTCAACTGCAATATGGGCAAACAATAGATACAAAGTAAACGGCTCCAAACTCATTGCAGAAAATATTACTTCAGCAACAGAATGGTCATTGCCTGGAATGTATTACCTGATACTGTTGTTGCATCCTCAAATCCCCACAGCTTCAACCTTAAACTGTCTACTGTGGACCTCGCCCCATTCTTAAAGGTCTGTAAGGGGGCGTGCATAAGTGCACCAGCCTGCCTACCGTCCCTGTCCTACTGTCCCCATCTATTTGTACTCATTTCTTATGTATGTATGTGTATACCTGCTTATATGTTATATCCATACTTATACTTGTTTTCTCATACATGCTTGACAAACCAAAATAAATAAAAATATAGATTAATGACTGCAGCTTTTTTTTGAATTTATATTGTTCCCGAAGGAATTGCACTTCAATTTTCATCACACACACCCTCAGCCCAACCAAATCGTGAATGCCCCTATAACACCGCTATCTTTACAGCGGGATAAACACTTTTAATTTCTCCGCCCATTTCGCTAGATTAAGCTCTATTCTCTTGTTTTAGTGGCACCAGTAGCCGGAACCAGTAAAAAGAAAGGTTGATAGAGCCAGGGGTGGTGGCGGTGGCGGCGGAGAGAAACGTGCGGGAGAAACCTCCGTCGCAAGTGCAACGCAACCCAACAGCCTCAGGGCCTGCTTCCTTCCTAGTCTAGGATCTCCAGCAGCAGAGCCGAGGAGGAGGTGGTGGAGCCTTTTCCGGAGCTGCGTGCGCAGCCATCCGCGCTTGCAGCGTCATCCTGAGGGGCCGGTTTGAATAAGACCCCGAGGGAGGGAGGAGGGAGGGAGAGAGGAAAGTGTCGCGCTGCTATAGCTCCGTCTTGGGTCTTGAGCTCGCTCGTTCCCCTTGCTTGCTTAGCCCGCCAGCCATGCCGCTTTTCACAGGTGAGTCTGGCCAGCCGCCTCTCGCGAATGCGGGACTCGCTCGTCCTCGCCTTCCCGCCTCCTGAGGGCCTAGCTCGGCTTCTCCCCTCTCCGGCCTCCGAAGCTGGAGGGTCTTGCGCTTTCCTGCCCTTCGCTGAGGCAGGGACCCGCGGCGGTGGGTGGGGAGGGAACGAGTCCGCCGACCGGATCCCTCCTCTCTTGAGCTTTGCCGAAGGAAGGCCGGGGTAGACGGCGTGCTTTCGTGCCGCCCTGTCAAGGAAGGGTTGCCTTGATGGGGAAAGGTGGGAAACATCGACGGGGAAGGAAAGGGCGAGGAGAAAACAAGGCTGCCCGAGGCGTGGTTGGTGGTGTGTGTGAAAGAGTTCACTCTCTGCAATCTCAACCATCGCCCCGGCCTGCGTTTTCCTGGGTGATTTTGAAGAGGAATAGCACTCGGTCATATTACAGCCTGGGTTTTCTTTGGAGAAAACCTGCAAAACTTGAACAGAGTAATTATTTTTTCACGCTTACAGTTATGAGTGCATTTGAAGATTAGCAGGGGTCAAATAGGGAAATTGATCTAATGTAAGTTATATCGCAGTGAAAAAACCTAAGTGCTTCTGTCATTCAACTGTCTCAGGGACTTGTGGTTCTCATGTAATAATATATTTGTGCTTTGGTCTTGTAAAAGGTAAAGATGAATTTCTATAATAAAAATAGTGATGATGCTGTCATTGAGACCTAATGCATTTGTTGTTCCCAAACTACAGGTATTCCTCAACTTATAAGCATTTGTTAAGTGACCATTTGAAGCTACAGCGGCATTGAAAAAAGTGATTTATGACCATTATTCACACTTAGCACCATTGCAGCTTCCCCATGGTCATGTGATCAAAATTCAGATGCTTGGTTGCTGATTCATATTTATGATGATTGCATTTGAGACCTTTTGACAAAAATCAAGGCTGAAGCCAGATTCACAACAAACATATTACTCACTTTTAACAACTCTAGAGATTCACTTAATAACTGTGGCAAGAAAGGTCATAAGATGGAGTAAACTCACTTAACAGCTGTTTTGTTTAGCAACAAATTCTGGGCTCAATTGTGGTTGTAAGTTGAAGACTTGTAGATTCCAATCCACTAACTTTTATTTTACCAAGTAGTATGTTACCAGGCATAATAAACATCATAGTCTCCCAGACAAGGAAAAATGTAAAATGAGGGAAGGCTTGTTTAGAAAATTAATACTGTGTATACCCTGCAATGAATTCTTCTACCTATAGGAAAGGCAAGCAGTCATATTTCAAAGCAGGTTTAAAAAAAAGAATAGATTGTTCACATAGTGTTGATTTCATTTTCATTTTTTTCATTTTCCCTTTATTTGTATGCCGCCCTTTTCCCTGGGGGGACTCAGGGCGGCTCACAGTTCAAAAAAGGGGCGGGGGGAGGACAAACAATTTTCCAACATGACGACAATACAACATATTAAAAAGAAAACACAACAGTCACACAATTCGAGTGGGGTTAGAATCTTAACCCCAGGCCAGCCGGGACAGCCAGATCTTTAGAGCGGCGCGGAAGGACTGGAGGGTGGTGAGGGTCCGGATCTCCACGGGGAGTTCGTTCCAGAGGGTCGGAGCAGCCACCGAGAAGGCTCTCCTCCGGGTAGTTGCCAGTCTACACTGGCTGGATGATGGAATTCGGAGAAATGCACCCCATACGTTAGGGGCCTAGGGGTCGATCTCTGCCCCCCAACTAACACCGACTGCGACCTGTCCGAGAGGTAAGAGGAGAACCACTGTAAAACAGCGCCTCCTACCCCCACCTCCCGCAGTCGTCGCAGAAGGATACCATGGTTGATGGTATCGAAAGCCGCCGAGAGGTCAAGGAGCACCAGGATGGAGGCATGGCCTCCATCCCTGGCTCTCCAGAGATCATCGGTCAACGCGACCAAAGCGGTTTCTGTGCTGCAGCCAGGTCTGAAGCCTGACTGGAAAGGATCGAGATAACTGGCTTCCTCCAAGGATCGCTGGAGCTGAAAGGCCACCACCTTCTCAACAACCTTCCCCACAAAGGGGAGGTTGGAGACCGGACGATAGTTATTTAAAACAGCTGGATCCAAGGATGGTTTCTTCAGGAGGGGTCTCACCACCGCCGCCTTTAAAGCGGGGGGAAAGACCCCCTCCCGTAGCGAGGTGGTAACAACCGCCTGGATCCAGCCTCGTGTCACCTCTCTGCTGTTTACAACCAGCCAGGAGGGGCACGGGTCCAGCACACATGTGGAGGCTCCTACAGCTCTCATCGCCTTGTCCACATCCTCAGGGGTAACAAGTGATTTCCCACAAAACTGTCACATGAGAAGCATAAAAGAAAGAAAAAGGGAATTGTATTCACTCCATGTTATTTCAACTCCTATAATGTAGGAATAGCATATGATGCATGCTTCTTAGAAATTGGTGTTATCAGTTTTAACAATATGTTGTATGAATGTAAACTTGGTATTTCAGTAAAGACTCTTCTTGTTGTTGCAAGTTGCAGAATATTCATGTGTGTTGATAATGCAGACAGTCAGGAGTATAGCCAAAACTGAGGTATAATTTTTAGGAAAGGCATTCTTAATATACATTTGTATTCATTGTTTATAATTTGTATGTCTAATAATTGCTGCCAAATCAGGAGTTATGTATAACATGTGTAATTTTTAATATTAAAATCCTTGTTTTTCAGTTAATGTAAAATGGGGCAAAGAAAAATTCGATGGAGTGGAGCTGAATACAGATGAACCTCCAATGGTATTCAAAGCACAGCTTTTTGCTTTGACTGGAGTTCAGCCTGACAGACAGAAAGTGATGGTGAAAGGTGGAACTTTAAAGGTAGAGTTGGATAATATTTTATCACATACTTGCTATTGTATTTTTTACACATTTAATGTATTGTGGCAATAATGAACATATCAGCATAAATTTATAAACTTATATAATTTATGAATTAAATATAATATAAAATTATTTTTGTAATTTTCTGATGAATTTTTGGCCCTTGCTATGAGATCTACAGTAATTACCTTTGGTGATTTCTTCTTTAGCTGTTGTGTATTTGTTGAATCTGTTGAGTCATCTTACTATTATTGGGAAAAGTTTACATTTATTTTCTTTTTTTTCAAATAGGATGATGATTGGGGTAATATCAAAATAAAAAGTGTAAGTATTACATGATCGCATTAGATATATGGTTTGGATGTTTTCTATGCATAACAGCTTCACAGAGCAGGGTTTTACCTCTTCTCTATGGCCTCAATTGAGAATGATTCAAAGTATGATGTGATTGGGAATGGGGAACTATAAGAAGAGGATTCAGTTGGCAGATATTGTCTTACTTTTTAAATTCTAAGTCTACAGTTATAAAGAGTTAAACACTGCTTTTAGTACTGTGATATATTTACATATATTTAAGACAATCAAAATTAAAAATGAGAACCCAAATGTGATTGCTGATATTATTTGATTTTTGTAGTAGGGGAACCACTAGAAAAAAGAGGAGTAACTTTTCAGCAAGTTAAGGGTATGGTAAATACTTTGGTTCCTTAAGGATCAGAATGGCATATATTAATATTTTGCACTGTTTTTCAAAAGGTAATAAAATAATCATAATTTAAATTTGTATGTGCCATAATACCCTTTAACATAAAAAAGACTCAAAACTGCTTTTGACCTTTATTTTAAAACTAACTTCTTGAAGGCTAATGTATATGATTATATTTAATTTTTTAGAGCATCTGCTGATAAACTTGTTGCACCTTTTCAATAGGGGATGACCTTATTAATGATGGGCTCTGCTGACGCACTTCCTGAAGAACCAGTAGCCCGGCCTGTCTTTGTTGAAGATATGACAGAAGAACAGTTAGCATCAGCAGTGAGCCTATCTTTCCATTATGTTCACAGTTTTGAATTCGGAGAAATGCATGACCTCAAATTTAATGAGAAGTAATATATTATTCACAATAAAGGTCCACTTTGGGGTATCCAGGTGGATGACACCGGTGCTGTTTCAACCGTACCTGTTGGAACAGGATCCGGAACCCACCACTGCTACTCAGTGAGCAGATAGCAGCTGCAGCTAGAAATCCCTTCCCAATCTCCAGTTGATGTGCTAGTTGTACATTTTCCTGGGTAGACCCTACAGCCTCTTAATCCTGGTTACTTCACAGTTTATTGCTGCACCACTCTCCAGCAATGAGGGTAGCCACGATGTTGCCTCTGTATATCCATCTAACTCCTCTGCTTTGTGAGCTTCATCAGTTGCCAGTTTCCTTTCAAGTGCGATTGAAGGTGTCAGTCATTTCTTATAAAGCCTACATAGCATTGAGCCTAGTTATTTGTGGGATCAGTTATCTTCCATAGCAGGGGTGTCAAACTGGTGGCCTGCGGGCTGGATGCGTTACATGCAGGTCATGCCTACCCCAGTTCTGCAAAGGTGAAAAATGTCACAATATGTCATGTGATGTCACATAACAGGATCGAATTTGACACCCATGTTTCATAGTATCTGCCTGGTTGATTCTATCCAATGAGGTTCACACATTCTTTGATTAAACATGCTAGTTGTTAGGATTTCAAAGTGCCCTTTCTCTCTGCTCCATTGGGGTTGGCTCTCACTCATGGCGTTTAGCAGGGCCAAGCTTTTTGGCTAGGGTAGTTAAAGCCTTCTGAGTTATATATGTATTTTTCATTGTTTTGCTACCTTTTTACTCTATTTTTATTGTTTTTATTGTTACGTGGTTTTATTATTATTTTTGTCATTTTGTGAACTGTCCAGTCACTGGGAGGGATACACAGACACACATCCAAATTGTCCAGTAATTCTAATACTCTGTTTTGAAATATAACAATTTTAAATTACTAAACAAAAGAATAGCTAGCTAACCAAACATTAAAAATTCTGGAAGAATAAAGTATTATTTCTCTTTTTCAAAAGAGAATTAATATAGGTGGACAGTGAATAGGCAGTTAATTCTGGAAAACATAATCTTTCAGATATTTCTGAATAGTCTGTTGGAGTCAGCTGGCACCCAAATAAATAAAATAACAGTGCAAATGAGATACAGCTAAGGACAGATATCATTGTACAAATGCAGCATTTTTTGAACTGGTACAAATACGTATCTTGTTCAGTAAAGAGATGTCATGCTCAAAAAAAACATTTCTAAAAATACAATATTTAATATAAAGCAAACATTTTAATCTTTCTATGACAGATGGAATTACCGTGTGGATTAACAAATCTTGGGAATACTTGTTATATGAATGCTACAGTTCAGTGTATTCGCTCTGTGCCAGAATTGAAAGAAGCTCTCAAGAGGTAGGTATCATAACTACAAATAAAATGCTCTTAATTTTATTCATTTTTAAAATATGAAATAGTATGAATAGTAGCTAGTAGCATTTTGTATAGGAAAGGAAAGCTAGAATACGTTTAAGTAGTAAAGTTCATTTTAAATTTTAGATTTCCAATGAAAACCTGAAATATATAATTCAAATTTTGTGGTAGAACTATAATAGGAATCCAGTGTGTGTTGAAATCTATTCTGCAAGTGGAATTCAGAGTTCATATTTGCAGCTCATATTTTAAACGTACTATTACTGCAGACTCTAGTATACTGGAAAATGAAGATACTAAAATATTAGCAAAATTAATTTGGCATAGCCTTAAAATGTTTTTTTTTTCAAGCTTAATGTTACTTTTTCTGTTAATACTCTGTAAATTCTATAAGAAGTCAAATAGTATTAACTATTCTACATTCTACAAAGCGTCTCTGCGCACGACTCTGGTTAACAATGGCAGCATCTTTGAAATATAGGACTATCAAGGACTATGTATGTAAAGGGAAGATTTTAGAGGTGATCTCACTTGAAAGCATTTTAAATGGATGAAGTGTTTCGTTAAGCAACCTTTTATGAAATAAATTATCCTTGAAGTTTGGGATTTGTATCCAAAAATGCTTCTAAAGAAGCAGAGCATGTTTTTGCTCACACAGTTGGCCTTTCCAGTTCCTACCTTTTCTGTCCTTACATAGCTTCCCCAGACACATTTAGATTGTTTCAGAGGATTCCCTGACTTTTAGGGGAAGTTTTTTAGGAGCTAAAGTGGGCTGCAATGGAAAGTGGGGGGGAATGAATCCCTCTTTTTTGAGTGGAATGTAAATGTAAACTACTGGTTCTTTTATTTCATGTATATTTATAAATTATTCAGAAATATTTTTATGTTTATTTATTTATTTGTATCCCACCTTTATTATTTTTATAAGTAAATCAAGATGGTAATCATATCCAGCACACCTTCCTCTTCCTATTTTGTCCACAATATCCCTGTGAGATCAGTGACTGACCCAAGGTCACCCAGCCAGCTTTACTGGCTGTGGAGGGACTAGAACTCACAGACTTCTGCTTTCTAGCGTAGTGTCTTAATTACTAGACCAAACTGGCTCTTAACATAAAATATATAATAAAATATACATAATAGAAGCAGTTGAATATGTCAACCAACAGTAAAAATGATTTAAAGCTAAATTTTATGAAACTATCAGTAAAATTAAGCGTTGTGTAATCTGGAGAGGGTACTGGCTATTTGGCTGCTAGAGATACTGGAGAAGGCAGTGGAATAAGATAGGATTGGGAAAATGGGTAAGGAATTTTCCTTTCAAAATAGTAGACCTTTTTCTTTAAAATACTACGGTAGTATTGGGACAGTCTAATTAAATAGCTCATCAGGATTATATTGAAACACACTTCTTCAAAATCAAATGGTTAAATATGGAATGCCTACAAGATGCAAAGATGGTATCATTTAGATATATTTAATTAAAAATTATATTTGATTATAAAGGCAGTCTGTAGCTAGTGCAGATGGCCATACAGTATTTCCTTTGGTAAAGAATACAGAAGGTTTATTTCAGTTGCTGGCAATATGAGCAAGATATCGCTATTTCATCCATCTCCACCTAATAGCAATAGCATTAAGACTTATATACTGCTTTACAATGCTTTACAGCCCTCTCTAAGCGGTTTACAGAGTCAGCATATTGCCCCCAACAATTTGGGTCTTCATTTTACCCACCTCGGAAGGATGTAAAGCTGAGGCAACCTTGAGCCTGGTGAGATTTGAATTGCCAAATTACAGGCAGCCATCAGTCAGTAGAAGTAGCCTACAGAACTGCATTCTAACCACTGCGCCACAGTGACTCATGAGCTTTCTATGACATACTTTTGTTGGCTACTGTAGGAATAGAATAGAATAGAATTGTAGGCAGAGGTGGTTTTGGCCTGATCCATACAATTAGCTTGATGTGTTTATTTGATGCGTACAACGTAGTGAGAAGCACACATGACCTATTAGGTGCAACCAGATTTCAGGTCACATATTCCTTCTTTTAGAGGTAGTCCTTGACTTATGACCACAGTTTAGTCCAACATTTTGAGACAGTTTTTAAGTGAGTTTTGCCCCATTTTACGATCTTTCTTGCCACAGTTGCTAAGTGAATCACTGCAGTTGTTCAGTTAGTAACATGGTTGTGAAGTGAATCTGGCTTCCCTATTGACTGCTTGTCAGAAAATCACAATGATCATATGACCCTGGGATACTGCAACTGTCATAAGTACGTACCAGTTGTCAAGTGTCCAAATTTTGTTCATATGACATTGGGGATGGTGTAACGGTCATGTTTGAAAAATGGTCATAACTCACCTTTTTCAATAATGTAACTTTGAACAGTCACTAAATGAAAAGTTGTAAGTGGAGGACTCTATGTACTTTGTGGTAATAAATGAATGGTTGAACTATTAAAAGAATCCTTACATGAAAGCATGATTTACAGTTGATGCAAAAAATTAGGCATACCTGGTCAATTGTATCTTTCGGTGAAACCTTAAAACAGCTAAAACTAATATAATCTCTACATGTTTCAAAGTTAATATATCTTCCTCCAAATTTGAATGTGTGCTTTCTATTTATGTGCAGCTAAAGTACACATTCAGTTATGATGGTAATCAGCCTAACTAAGGCTTCCAAACTCTAAGAATTCAAAATCATCTTGGTTTTGTAGTCACAATTTAACAACGTTCTTGATTGTGATCAAAATCTCACAGATGAATCTCAGTTTCCAGATGAAAGCCGTTTTAACTTTATTTCTATATTGTGTTGAATCTAAGGCCAAACTAACTATATGTTTTAAACATTTTTAGGTATGCTGGTGCCTTAAGAGCTTCAGGGGAAATGGCTTCTGCTCAGTATATTACTGCAGGTTTGTATTTCTAGAGCAAAGCAGAGTTTTCTGATATTTAGCTACCTCAGATAAAATGGCCAGTATGTTGCTCAGAAGATACTTTGTTTTTTTTCCTAGCACAATTTAAAGCATTTGATAGATTTTGAGTTTAATTACCACCTTTTGAATTGTAGCCAAATATTGATCACTGTTAAAAAAATTTCCTTTTGAAATTTGCAGCTTTTTAAAATCCAGAAATACTTGGAACACTGGAAAATGAGTGCTGCTTGTTTACTTTATTGCCTTTGACCAGGATATTAGGATTTATGCCATTTCATTTAAGAAAAAACAAATCAGGAACAGTCAACTATTGAATATGCTGTTATCAGATTTTGGGACGGTATGTTCATTGGCTACTCTGTAGAATTGCTTATGTTTCTCCTTATTAGGCACTCCTCTAGCTAGATCTCTTAAATGGATGCAAAATATTTGATTATTTGGTTTGTTAGGTTAATCTTGCCCAATCTGTTTGTTCATTATTTCAGTGTAACAAAAATGTGCAGGGACACATTGTTTTATCTTTTAAGTTGTTGAAATCTTACTACATTACTAAGCAACATTCAGCACAACCTTAAAGAACCAGAAGTCAGTTGCATGTACAGAACTTATTATTATACATGATAGGCTGAATGTAATTGCTAACGGGAATATATATACATTTGTTTTATATATATATATATCATGTTGTGGCCTTATGCTAGATTGAATAAGAACTAAGTCAGATGTGTGATTATAATTAACTTTCTATATTAGTTTTACAGTACATGTAGTCCTCGACTTACGACTGGTCACTGAGTAACTAGTTGAAGTTACAGCAAACCTTGAAAACAGACTTACGCCCTGAATTCAAAATTCTGACGTGTCTTCCCTATCCACCCCTGGAAATCATGTGACCATATTTTGACCACTTGGCAATCTAGCAATGTGTGTGCTTTATAACTGCTGTATTCACTTGACCACTGCAAAAAAGATTGTCAAATTGGGCAAGGTCATGTGATGACCTGCTTTATAACCATCACAACATGACCACAATTGCAGGCTCAATTATTGTCGTAATGTGACGACTATTTGTACATGGTTAGTAGCCTATTAATTGCATTTTGTTCCACTAGAGTCCCACTTTGAAAGTAGATTGATATGACTCACTTTTGTAATGTAGAGTTGAAGCTGCACCTATTATATGCTGTCGTGGCTTAGTCTTAAATGACTTGCATGAAGTAAATGTCTAAGATAAGCAGCAACTGTTCAAATTTGCAATGATACCGAATAAGAAGGATTTATAATGATCCTTGGAGTTCTGATCATTGCAACATTCCTGCTGTCATATGATCATGATTTCCAAAGTTCCCTGCCGGCTTTCCATGAGGAAAGTCATTGGGAAAGCCAGCAGGAATTTGAAAGTTGCAATCACTGGAGGTCCGTTCGTAGTGGTTTAATGATCCTCACTTAACAGCAACAACCAGGACTGCTGCAATTAACATTGCTAAGCGACATGGTCATGTGACATACTTTTATGACTGCATTGCTTAACAACAGCAGTTTCTGTCCCAACAGCTGCACTAACCTGTATAAAATTTCTCCATGCAACAATATAGATTGTTTCACTTGCATGATATAATCAATTGTACAGTATTTTTTAAATAGACTGATAGTGCATTTATATATTTAAATAACATTTTGCTACAAAATAATAATTGTATTATGCATTAGATAAAGAGTTTGCATTTGAGGAATATGCTTCATTTATTATACAAACTTGCATTTCTATGAAATTTATTGTTTTTTGTTTTATTTTATTTTTAAGCTTTAAGAGATTTATTTGATTCTATGGACAAAACTTCCTCCAGTATCCCTCCCATCATTCTTCTCCAGTTTTTACACATGGCCTTTCCTCAGTTTGCAGAGAAAGGAGATCAAGGCCAATATCTTCAACAGGTAGATACTTTTTAATTTCTCTTTTGCAGGCTGCATATTTTATGTAAAAATGTATCTCTTGTTTTACCATTTCCATAAAGGTAATTAATAGCTATATTTTTATTATTCTTTAGCAGCTTCTAGTCCTAGTTGCTGAAGAAAACATTTTAGAATAAACAAAGTAAAAAAGTGTGTCTTGCTTGTTGTTTGTATGCACCTGTGTGCATACAAATGTGTTTGTGTTTTTATATGATGTGCTTATGATACATGCTCAACATATATTTGTCTTAGATTCCCGTGATCTAGTTTTATCTTTTATCGTATTCCGTAGGATGCCAATGAATGCTGGGTACAGATGATGCGAGTACTGCAGCAAAAGTTAGAAGGTATCGAAGGTGATGCAGTAATGGAAGTAAGTCTTTACTGGAAATAATGGAGACTAATTCTGGGCTGCAGCTGAGTTTTATAGTCAATAATATTAATATTAATAATAATATTTAACAACAATAAATGTGATTTGATTGCAGGTAAGATGTTGAAAGTACCTAAATCAGGAGTTAATCTTTTTATTCCATAGACCTTTTTCAGAATCTGTGAAACCTGTAGATCTCTTCTTTGAAAAAATATATTTAAATTAATAAAAGAAAATCCCATCCAGTCTCAACAACCCTCGACTTAACAACCACAACAACTTATTAGGGTCAATAGTTAGTATGCAGTGAGTTGAAATATAGATAATATCAGATTATTCTGGGTATGGGAAAACAATATTGTGAAAAATTCCAAAGAGATCTCTTTAAATTGGGTTAATAGTTAGCCAGATGACGAATCTGGTTCAGTAGAAATAAAAAATTCAATACGAGCCAAAGTAAGTTCCATACACTAAAAGATTTGAATGTTTGGGACTTTTTTGCGTAGAAAAAAGATGAGTAAGGAGGTGAGCAAGACATGTGGAAACATGCTTGCCATGAAAAGAATGGATAAGGAAAAGTTTTTCTTCTCAAAATGCTAGGACTGTTGAGTCATCCATGTGGCAAAAAAATTAAGAACAGGCAAAACAGGCTTATTAATAAAGCATATAATTAATCTGCAGAATTGGTTAACATGAAGCAGACATGCTTGCTTGTTTAAAGGGAAATGGAAAAACACACAAGAGGACAGGTCTGTCAAACGGAATTAGTTTTGAAGATTCAGTATTAGATCCAGGTTAGCACTTGTATGCTTATCGATACCAGCTGCACGGAAACCACAGGGGAAGAGACGTATGGTCATCTCCAGTTTGTTAGAACTGAAACCTGGTCGGCCATTGTGAAAAACAAAATGACACATTAGTTGAGCCGTGGCCTGGTCTAACAAGCTAATCTTTCGTTATGTTCTAACAAGTTGCTGATGGATGCTGCATAGATGCTCTGAAGAAACTTTGTAAATCCAAAATACTGGTTTTATATTGTGCAAGCTATCAATTTGAACCAAATCTGCTTGGAATATCTACCCAAGACTTTTTCTAACCAATTTTGGATTTAGAATGCTTGACATAGAATTGAACAAGATCTATGTTTCCCAGGTTCAAAGTAACCCATTCATTTTTTTCCTCTTTGGCCACCTTTAGGTCTATATCTTGTTTTAAAAGTACAACTGTCAGCTTTGTAAGAGTAAATTATAAGCAGTTTGTATTGTTGCTTATATATTTGTTTGCTTTTACAGACTGACTCTTCAGTTTCAGAAACGGCAGCAACGGCACCTCCTAAAAAGAAAAGCTTAATTGACCAGTTTTTCAGTATTGAGTTTGAAACTATGTATCCTAAACATTCTGGAATAACAAAGCATGCTCATGATAATGCAATTAGTATGTGTAGGATTTATTTTATATATTTTACTTACTAAAGAGATAATCCTCACTACGAGTGTATTCTGTAATTGGTAGCTAAGTGCTTCTATAAATTATATTTAAAATTGTTTTTAAAAAGTTTATGCCAGCTTATTAAAAAAATCAATAGTTATCTAAAGAACTGGTTGTCACTAAGTAGTAGTGTTGATGTAAGAACTGTTGTTTTGTTGCAGCAATTTAAGCTTTCTGAAAGCAAGATAACTTTTTGCAAATCATTAAGTTCCATGCTTAGTGGTAGTTCAGTACTTTTCATATTTGGTCCTTAATATTTTGTGAAGCATGAAATGCACAGAAGCAGAAGAGGAGGAAGTCACAAAAGGAAGAGAGAATCAACTCCAGCTTAGTTGTTTTATCAATCAAGAAGTTAAATATCTTTTCACGGGTCTTAAATTGGTGAGTTACTGTGGCATCTTTATTCAAGCAGCTTTTGCATCATTGTATTTAAGGGAGTTTATCTTGGTCTACAAAGAAGAAACAGATTTGATCATGAAATTTAACATTGTTGGACTTTCCTGATATTTCATTTTCTAAGACATGTAACAATGAACATTCATTTAACATATGTTTCTTTCATTTTTTGAAAACATGAAGTGTTAAAATAAGAATTAAAAATTGAAATGTGGAATAGTGTTCTAAATATACTTTCCAATTTCCAGTTGTATGTTTCATATATTTTAGAGAAGTAATATACAGTCTGTCCCAAGACAAAAATGTGCTTTAGAATGTGTTTTCAACTCCTTTTATCAAGGTTGTCTTTTCCTGAAATTACATTGCTGCTGTGAAAGCAGCTACATAATCCTAAGGTAAAAAAAAAATAGTACCTGTAAGAACTTACATACAGCTGCCTTTAAATCCAAATTGTTGCCCATTCCATATTCATTTTGTAGTATAGGGAAGAGGAATAGAAAACCTTGCTTACCCAAATGTTACTACACTGTTACTCTCGTTATCCTGGATGATGTGGCCATATTTACTGGATATGAATATGAATTTTGAATCCAACATCCAAATTGCCCATCCCTGCTATATTACTTCTCTCTCCGTGTATATCTTTGTGGAAATACATGTGATAGTTGGCAGCAAAAAGTAATCATAATTTCACTGGATGAATGCATGTTGCATGAGCATAAAAAGCTTTTTGGTTCTATGCTATTGTGTATTCCTTCCCTCATTTCTTGAAAAATGCTTTCAGATTTCAGTAAATTTTGGGCATAGTTTTTTATTTTTATTTCATTTATCACTTAAAGTGCTACACAGAATTTTAAAAAGGACATATGAAATGTCATGCTTAATTTTGTACATGTACTAATCTTCGTTATCTTTTTAAATATATTTCTCTAATAGCGTCTTCAAGAAGAAATAACTAAATTATCACCAACATTGCAAAGGAATGCCCTTTATTTAAAAACGGTGAGGATACCATTGTAATATCCCTTTATAGTAATGGAACTGTACCTGTGATCTGCCATTTTAAGATATATATACATACATACATACATACATACATACATACATACATACATACATACATACATACATA